AAAATCGAAATATCTCAATATAAAATGATTGGAAATGAACTTTATTATTGCACTTATTTAGATCGCACCAAAGTACAGAAGCATCTAGTTGACGTTAGGCGACTGGCAGTCAGTCGAAGGCCAAATATTTCAGTGGTAAAATTTCAGACTGAGTGATCTGGGTTCGAACTCCACCAGGGGTATCAGTTACTTTAACGCTACACGTACGCCATGCTAACGAGCGCCACGTGGCACGAAACTTAGGTCCAGTATTTAGTTCCTATGACCTTCAAACATAGTGTATGTGATTTCGATTTACTTAGACTGACGATCACATTGCAACTTATTCGATAAACTTCGATGAGCATTAGTGACTAGACAAATATGACAACGATCCTTTCTCATTGTAAACATTTAACTGAATTATGGAAATAATGAACTATTCAGATATTTTCGGAGAATATTTGTAAACAAATAACCTAGTTTACTGATAATGTTCACTGTTGAACGTTTTTGTTCGTCATTTATAATCTCTCAATGAGTAGAAAAATTAATTTTGTTAAAATTTTCTGACATTTCATAACTCAGTGTAAGCTACCTCTTCAGGGAATTATTTTTTCTTAATAACAATATACCAAATGCTCTATTTATTTGAAACTATCATCATCTAAATGGTACTAAGAGAAAACTGGAAATATGCAAAAGTGAATTCTCTTTGTTTTGTTTTATTAAAAAAGTTCATTTCATTCATAGTTAATTCAAAGCATATTTATACTTTTAATTATTAGTCGACATTGATATAAAAGAAAACAATCAAGATTACAACTAGGTCAGTTTTCACTCTCTATCTATCTATCTATCTATCTATCTATCTATCTATCTATCTATCTATCTATCTATCTATCTATCTATCTATCTATCTATCTATCTATCTATCTATCTATCTATCTATCTATCTATCTATCTATCTATCTATCTATCTATCTATCTATCTATCTATCTATCTATCTATCTATCTATCTATCTATCTATCTATCTATCTATCTATCTATCTATCTATCTATCTATCTATCTATCTATCTATCTATCTATCTATCTATCTATCTATCTATCTATCTATCTATCTATCTATCTATCTATCTATCTATCTATCTATCTATCTATCTATCTATCTATCTATCTATCTATCTATCTATCTATCTATCTATCTATCTATCTATCTATCTATCTATCTATCTATCTATCTATCTATCTATCTATCTATCTATCTATCTATCTATCTATCTATCTATCTATCTATCTATCTATCTATCTATCTATCTATCTATCTATCTATCTATCTATCTATCTATCTATCTATCTATCTATCTATCTATCTATCTATCTATCTATCTATCTATCTATCTATCTATCTATCTATCTATCTATCTATCTATCTATCTATCTATCTCGATAACACTACCGGCCAAAGTTAACTAATTATGTAAAAACGATTATCTGATGCAAAATGAATATAACTCTCATTTTCATATTTTGTAATGCTTTACTCCTAGACCTTTTGGAATTATTATTATATAATTTTGAAAAAATCCAAGTAAACCATACTGTAAGAAATCGATTACTTTTAATTATCTTTTTTGAGTAGTCAATTTTATCAACATTATTTTTTTACTAATTGATTGTCTGATTTATTTTTTTAGTCTTCTCAAATTTTGATGGGAGCTTGTTCGGGATTTCTAACAGAATCTATTGATGGTCTACTGGATGATGCTCATATTTTTGAGACCAACTTTACTGGCTACAGTTCCACGTGTACTTTCTCGTCTGTACACAAAATATCAAGGTGCATTGGGTGATTCTGTAGTTAAAAAACAACTTTATAATTACATTGTAAAGAAAAATCTAGCTGAACAAGAACGGTATGTTTTCTTTTTTTTCAAAGATATCTTAAAAATCAATACTCTAAAGCATTTACGATTGTTAAAACAGGGTTATACTCATAGATAGATAGATAGATAGATAGATAGATAGATAGATAGATAGATAGATAGATAGATAGATAGATAGATAGATAGATAGATAGATAGATAGATAGATAGATAGATAGATAGATAGATAGATAGATAGATAGATAGATAGATAGATAGATAGATAGATAGATAGATAGATAGATAGATAGATAGATAGATAGATAGATAGATAGATAGATAGATAGATAGATAGATAGATAGATAGATAGATAGATAGATAGATAGATAGATAGATAGATAGATAGATAGATAGATAGATAGATAGATAGATAGATAGATAGATAGATAGATAGATAGATAGATAGATAGATAGATAGATAGATAGATAGATAGATAGATAGATAGATAGATAGATAGATAGATAGATAGATAGATAGATAGATAGATAGATAGATAGATAGATAGATAGATAGATAGATAGATAGATAGATAGATAGATAGATAGATAGATAGATAGATAGATAGATAGATAGATAGATAGATAGATAGATAGATAGATAGATAGATAGATAGATAGATAGATAGATAGATAGATAGATAGATAGATAGATAGATAGATAGATAGAGAGTTAGAACTGACCTAGTTGTAATCTTGATTGTTTTCTTTTATATCAATGTCGACTAATAATTAAAAGTATAAATATGCTTTGAATTAACTATGAATGAAATGAACTTTTTTAATAAAACAAAACAAAGAGAATTCACTTTTGCATATTTCCAGTTTTCTCTTAGTACCATTTAGATGATGATAGTTTCAAATAAATAGAGCATTTGGTATATTGTTATTAAGAAAAAATAATTCCCTGAAGAGGTAGCTTACACTGAGTTATGAAATGTCAGAAAATTTTAACAAAATTAATTTTTCTACTCATTGAGAGATTATAAATGACGAACAAAAACGTTCAACAGTGAACATTATCAGTAAACTAGGTTATTTGTTTACAAATATTCTCCGAAAATATCTGAATAGTTCATTATTTCCATAATTCAGTTAAATGTTTACAATGAGAAAGGATCGTTGTCATATTTGTCTAGTCACTAATGCTCATCGAAGTTTATCGAATAAGTTGCAATGTGATCGTCAGTCTAAGTAAATCGAAATCACATACACTATGTTTGAAGGTCATAGGAACTAAATACTGGACCTAAGTTTCGTGCCACGTGGCGCTCGTTAGCATGGCGTACGTGTAGCGTTAAAGTAACTGATACCCCTGGTGGAGTTCGAACCCAGATCACTCAGTCTGAAATTTTACCACTGAAATATTTGGCCTTCGACTGACTGCCAGTCGCCTAACGTCAACTAGATGCTTCTGTACTTTGGTGCGATCTAAATAAGTGCAATAATAAAGTTCATTTCCAATCATTTTATATTGAGATATTTCGATTTTTTGTTTAGCAATTGAATACTCACCTAATGAATTGCTTAAATCAATAATCTCTTTTCTACTTTGACTGGAATATTTCATCTCACTTTTTTAGTGCATAGAATGTTTATTATCTGCGTTGTTGTCAATCTGTTGCAGAATCGATGATTTATTGAGTTACGTAAAAGTTTTTTACTGATCACATCTATCAATAAGAAAGAGTGAAGCTATTTACTGTCACCCGTTATTTCCATGTGCTAAATTAGCTGGTTCAGTAATAATAAATTCCAAGGTGTTCTTATATAGGCGTTTCGAATCAATGATAACTTTGCAATATTGTGAACAATCACTGTCACTATTGCTTCATAAAATGAAAGACTTGGAATTCACTCGGTCTGATTTTGGTATTACGTACTGCTTCACAGTTTGATGTAGTTACTGTGTATCATCCGCTTTCTAAAATTTCTGTCCAATTAAGTTTGAGTTATCAAATATTTGCTTCATCAAACAAGAAAATCATACTTATGATAGGGATAATCTTGAGTTTCATTATTTGCAAAAAACGAAGAGTTCCCCGTCGAGTTATAATCGACTTATTGACATTAGTTTACACTCCAATATAAAATCGTAAAAATTTACTGTATCTGTAAATATTCATTTTGACTCTAGCATGGTAGGGTTATTTATTCCCAACAGCGAATCTTGCAAAATTAAAACTTTTTACTGTTGGTAAACTTGTAAGTAGTAATCGATTATTTCCTTTTGATCCCAGTGGAAAATTTCATCATCGAAGCGTTGTGGACACAATGTTGTTTGGTAAACTTAGAAAGAAATTTGGCGGACGTGTGTGTTGCGTAGTATCCGGGAGCGCCCCATTGTCACCAGAACTCTCAAAGTTTGCACATGCGGTATTCAACGTGGTAGGTTGGATTTTGCTTTATTTCAAACCAGATTAGTAATTTTCAAGAATATCAATTCGCTAATAGTTTTTCATAGTATCGTTACTATAGGTGGTTTACGCCTTACTCATTAATTCCTTATCTAGTGGTAAATGATATGTCTCCAATTTACACCCTTGGATAATTATTTGGAAGTTGTCTTATTTCTTCTTCCACTCGCTTCACCGACTGTTCTACATTTATCTATCATAAATCAAAGGGTACTTATATTGAATGAATGTTATGTTTGACACCTTTGTTATCTGCATAAACTATCAAACTAATGTCATATTTTAGTGAATTCAAAACTTTTGGTTTGTTGTGGGATATCTTTTTATGTATTCTGATTATAATGAGTTAGTTGCTTTAATCAGTGCCTTACTGAGCAAAACTAGTAAAATTGTGAATTATGTATAGATGGGACACTGGCGTTTAATGCTTGTGCAATAGTCACATAGAAAAAACCATTGAACGTCAAGATTCTTTACCTAAAGATAATTATGGCATGTGTTGGTTTTTGTTCAGGCGTAATACATATTTTATGATAATTGGTGTAATACAACAATCTTTTAATTAAAAAATAACGTTACTCCTATAATATATCTCTGATTTCATCATATTAATTTTCGGACATCTATTCATATTTTTCTATGTAAAAGGTTTTTGAAAGGTATGGATCAACCGAAACAATGGGATGCGTCACTTTGTCATCGGTCGGAGAGTACCGTTTAGGTACTGTCGGTGGTGTTGTTTATGGTGTGGAACTGAAACTTGTGGATGTCCCAGATTTTGGTTTGGTTGCATTACGTGATGGAAGGGGCGAAGTAAGATTTTAAAAAGTATTGAATAATAAAGTTCATTGACATATTCTGCTTAATTGGGAATACTTGGGCAAGCAAATCTTTATTTGAATAACTTCATCACCAGAGCATTTACAGTTATAAATCCATAATCATGACGATCACAACGACCAAAATGTATCAAAATACTCTCATATGGTCAACCGTATATACCCATTGCCTTCTCGCGGTGGGGATGTTGTTTACAAAGTTGAGAGAACTGTTTGATGGGTTCGAATGATCTGCGTAGGGGGTGGGGTGGGGTGGAAAACCCTGATTCTAAAACAATAATGGACATGGGTTCCAAGATCTTGAGGGAAAATGACGTATGAACCTATTGTTGGTCAGTGGTTACCATGAAACTACGTCTCCTACTGTTGCCCCATTGCTTTGTGGATTATACTTCTAGGTCAAAGGCTCGAGGAGTGGCTGCCCAACGAAACTACCTGGTTTGGTTTGAGAACCCTAGCTCACATATAAATTAAATGATGATCATGCCTGAAATGACTACTATTGCCTCCAACTTGAAACCGTCACAAACTGTATCCACAATTATTTGGTAACATTCGTCTATATTTTACATTGCGTCACTTGTCTATTCCTTTATTTCTATTTTGTGTATCTCTATGCTTCAACTGACCGTTGCTGCTACCTTGAAGTGGTAGTTGGGCTTGCTTATCATGATGATGATGATGGCTGTGCTAGGTTTGAAGCTATTACGAGTTCACTTAGTATGTGAACGGAACAAAGACTTGTGATCGTAGACCAATAAGCTGGCTATTTGATGCGTCCCAGCCCCGCTAACTAGAGGAAGAAGTCCAAACTTGGAACGGGAAGTATATTCCGTAAGCCAGAAGCACGAGTGAATAATAACAGACACAGATCAAACGTATATATACAGCATAAAACTGTCCTTGAGTATCGTAGCAAAAATAGCATACTAAAAATACACAACGTACCAACAGCGTTAAAGATTCTCCCAAGTGGGAAATACGACATGAAGGTGAAAATAGCGCTTTTGGCGCGATATCAAGGAAATTTAAATTTCCAAAATAAAATTACAAAATCAAGGCATTTATTAAGTGACTTCTGGGGATCTAATATCCCCAACAGGCTGGAACAATCGTTCCTCAAGGTCCTACCATGCCAGGCAGATCGGTCGAAGTGCGGTACGACTAAAAAGAGCGAACCCAAGACCCGAGGGCGAAGTCATACTGCTGACTGTACAGTAGTGTGATGATAGTAGGGTGTCTCTCTCAAACAACCAGCATAACAGCGACGTTGCCTTCTCACAAAGAAAGGATGGGGTTAGAAAAAGCTAACACTAAAAACGCACACCTCGCCTTATCTTATGGATATCCGTCTCCGGCGATAAGGTCTCGACAAGTACAGAGCTAACACTAAGATTACTCATAAAAAGGTCGTGTGTGACCGACCACAAGCAGTTGTCCCATGGGCACTGCGGTCACTCTCTCAGGTCATTGAGACCATCTCTAATCCAATTTCCTTCTCAAGTACCTCCAGAAGAACCCTTCCACGGTGTGGGCTGCCGGGAAGTGTCTCCAAGACACGCATACAGGATCCTAGTCTGGTCATTCACTTGAACTCACCTTATCAAAACGAGAAACCGACGAGATACACCCTCCGTGTATCTGGAGACTCGATGGCTAGTTCTCGTGGACTGGTAGATGTCTTTATAACACTAAGTACGAAGGCAGAATAAGCACTATTAACGGTTGCCTATGTGATGTTCGGCTAAATGGCTCAGTAAGAATTCGGACACACGTCGTTGCCTTTTGGTCATTTCTGCCTACGCTCCAACTGACTGTAGCCCAGATGAATTTTACAGAAAGTTTTCTGAACTTCTTCAAAAAGCTAAACGCTCAGAAACCGTACTCGTAGCAGGTGACTTTAATGCCCAGGTATGTAGCTTAAACTAAATAGAAAGACATTTAGGCGGGTATTTCAGTATTCCGGCTCAGCGAACAGGTCATCTGCTGCAACTTTGCTCAGATAATCGTTTGTTTTTAGGAAGTACTCACTTTAAGCATAAAGACAAACATCGTCTAACATGGAGGTCCACTTATCGACTTAGAATACACAGATGATATAGTCCTGTTTGGTGAAGACGCTGATAAAATGCAGAGTCTTTCGGTAGCACTAAGCAACAATGCCAGAATGTTTGGAATGCGCTTCTCTCCCTCTAAATGCAAGATTTGCTTCAGGACTGGTCTGCGTCAACACCTGAACTAAGGATAGGGAGTGAAGTAGCCGAACGCGTTGACAACTTCACTTATCTTGGAAGTCTGATCAGCCCTAATGGGTTGGTATCGGACGAAATCTCAGCAGGGATTTGAAAAGCTCATTTGGCTTTTGCCTCTCCGTCATCCTTACCTACGCTTCGACAGATTGCAACCCGGATGCGATCATTAAGGAACTTTGCCACTAACTGTTCGATTGATGTTATAGAGACTTGAGTGCTCAGTTCGGGCGTCTAGGCAGCGATAAGAGTCATCTAGGTGGCCGACGGAGACTTTTTGGTTGCAGGACGGAGAACAATGACCGTCTACTGCAACTTCGCGGCACTATAACCTGTTTCTGGCTAGCACTAACTATCGGAACAGTCATCGACGATGTGCTGTCTGGCGTCCTTCCTCTACATTTGAAGCCTGGACTCAGATTGAACATATCGGGATCAGCCTCCGCTGGAGTAGTTGTATTCAAAACTGCCTCTCTTTTTGGAGTACTTATTTTGACTCCAATAATCCCCTTGCTGCGCCAATCCTATCTTACTTTTCAGTGGCCAACAAATTCGTTTTCCTAAGTAGATCGATGTCAGGGAACTGGTTATGTTTTCTGTTGCAACTAAATATCAAACTAAGCTAGGATCATGGCTAGCTATCAACCCACTGAAAATTATAGATGAGCAGTGGCTGCAATTGCATGACGCCATGAAAACAACAATAATAACAATAACGTACATCGATTTACAAGTGGAATATTAAACAACAGTTAAAGAATTTGTAAACAAAGAATATTTCTATTTGAATGACTTTATCACCAGAGCCTTTACTGTTATAAATCCATATATATGACAATTACAATGATCAAAGTATAGGATATATAAATGGGTGAAAAAAGAGCGGCAGGTAAGTATTCTGTGTTTGGTGATTTGTGTTGCTTGAAGAGTTGGAGGTTCTTGCGGAAATGTAAACCGAAATTCAACTCTAAAAAGTCCATTCGTGTTAAACTAAGAAAAACACAATTGCGTCATAATTTGTTTTTAGATATGTGCCAGAGGCGATCAGTGCAGCAAAGGTTATTTCAAGGATCCGGTAAAAACTGCCGAACTTATTGATAGTGATGGTTGGATTCATACTGGGGATATTGGTGAATGGACTGAAGTAAGTCTAAAAATACTTTTTGATTTATCTTTGTCCGTTTATTCATTAACCAATATCATCCTATGTTTTATAGAATAATGCAGCTGAATATATTGTTCATCGTAAATTTATGAAAGTTGCTTTATATAAGACATCTTATTCATTAAGTTACAAATTGGATGGGCATAAATTCGGGGAAACTTATGTATTAACTCTATGGTTTAATACTTGGATTAGTGAAAAGTCTTCTCATTTAACAATTATTTATTTACTTCCTAGACTCTTCCAATATCCTTAGCGTACTTCTACACTTGAACTCGAACAAGTGTGAAGTATGAGTAAAAGCTCTACTTTTATGTTAATCTGTGTACAGAAAATCGAATTCATTTAAAGGTTTTCAGATAATTTTGTTCTTCTAGAAACTTCTGGAAGCACAATAAGCATAGTATCAACATCAGTAACGTTTTCTAGCTTAGTATAAATCAATTATTCAGTGAAGAAATAAATAACCGAATTCAATAGTACAAAAAACAGCGTACATTTAGCTCAGTTCACATTAAAATAAATCTGATCAATTCAGTCAACATGAGATTTACTTGCGTGTATTTATGTGTATGTTAGCGGGTGTCAAAATTTGATATTTGTATTGTTGAAGAGTAAGTCGAAAAATATTTATGTGGTTGTTAGTGATTTAAGATGTGCATAAGTGATTTAAATTAAAACCACAAATAAAAATTCTACTCTTATATTCACCACTGATTAATTAAATGAACGCAAGAATGCTCAAAAACGCCAGTTTATTGCACGTTTATTTGAACACTGAAAAAATGAAGGTTATCTTCTCTGAAAAGTGACTTACACCAAGTCACGAAACGTTGGAAATGTAATTTCCTACTTATTGAGATTTTATGAATATACTATTTCTGTTATAAGTAATTATCCAATCAAAATGTGAAACAATCCTACATTTCTCTAGATTTGTTTGGAGGGTGTCTATGCAGTGCTGATTGAATAAATCGTTTTTAGAAACTTTACCGATGGATATTTGTTGAGATTACTAACAACTAGCCAAATGAGATGAGAAATCGCTTTTCAGAAAAATTACTTACTGTATTTATTACAGTGTGTGTCAACACTAACTGAAATTTATTTTATTTTGAAGGCAGTCCTTATAATTCTGTGTTATATTGGGATCATCAGTATACCGGATTTATGCCAGGTGTGGTAATAAAAGGACTATTTTTCACCTTTCACTTGATGACGACGTTTTGTACCCCTAACTTCGTTTGTTAACGGTCCTAATTTGAAACCATTTTAAAATTTTACCAGCTAAAATGTTCAAAGTTCATGTCTATTTCATCCTTCAGTAGTTAACTACATAGATGAAGCTACGAATTTTCAATAACTTATGCAGTCATTGAGTTTAATTTGCTAACTACTTTCCTGTATAAGTGATTTTTTGACTGATGGTTAAGAATTTTTAAATGCTTAGATGCAAATTTTCTGATATATTATAGAATTTAAACATTCATGTTGAATTATGATCTACTTTCTATCAAAAAGTAAGCTATAGTTCCTTGTGTATTCGAATTGGGATTACCAATTGTAGCGTGGCGTCGAGTTGAGATTAACTATGAACACCGCTACCAAGAAACACGTGCCAATTAGATCAGGTGTAAGAAGCTCGTTCCAAATGACTCCATAAAATCCCCGAGAAGCCAAATATCAGAAGGCAATTAATGGACCAAGTCGAGTTATATTTGCTGGCGATCTCGTGGCATCGAAAGGATACCGAGATCGTGCCAGGATACAAGCTTGGTTACAGAAGGTAACCGAATTCGCGCGAAGTTACAATCGAAGTGTAAGTAAGAGAATGGAAGGACAAAATAGCTGTCATTAGCACAGTCAAACAAAAGCACATTAAAACAAACACTGGTACAGTTGGTTATAATAATAATTGTTTTTATTAAACCAGTCGTGTTCTCGTGATAAACGTGAGTCACTACACTTGCATTATTTGGCTAATCTGAAATCATGAGTAAACAGAATCTATCTAAAATTACTTGAATCATTTACTTCATTAACATAAACATGTATTTATTTATTTTATAACAGGAAGGTTCACTCAAAATTGTGGACCGTGTAAAGAGTATATTCAAATTATCTCAAGGTGAATATATTGCACCTGAAAAAATAGAAATGGCTTATCAAACTTGCAAATTAATAAGTCAAGTATTTGTGGGTGGTAACAGTCAAAAAAATTACCCAGTTGCGATAGTAGTTCCAGATTTTACTGAATTGCGTTCCGCTCTAAGCAATAGTAAGGTACTGCAGCATCATAAAAAGCTTTTGGATTCTGAACTCTGTCGAAATGAAACTGTTAATAAATTCGTTTTGGAGAAAATGAATACTATAGCGACACTAAAACTGTTGAAGGGTTTTGAAAAGGTTTGTAACGAATGATTTAAAAATTATAATCGTAATTTAAATACTCAATCCTGTTCTTATTTATGTATGTTTCGTACCAGTCGACAAACAAACAAACAAATTAGTATTTACGATATATAACTGACCTCGGGTTAAATCACAAATAAGCAGATTAGTCAATGAGATTGTGAATTTTCATTAGTCGAAGTAACTCACTCATGTGAATTTCCCCCGCATCAAAATGGGTAATACTGACCTTATTAAATAAATAAACGGAGTTGACACAATGTTGATTTGTAGAATTAACAATCAACGGAACTAACTGTACCTGAAATTATGAACTTCCTTCTTTGGTCATATAAATGTTAGAAAGTCATAACTGTCAACACTCCTCAACCATAGTTTTAATGATGTTTTTGTCACTTTGAATTTTTGTATTATAATACATTTTAACTTGAGGAAATATATGCTATCCGGTGCTCGTTAACGTTATACAATTTATTAATGACTTTATATTGGGTTCTTATATGGTTTCGCTAATTAATTGAAGTTAGAAACGTAAACCTATAGATGCCAACTCAGCAATTACTGTAAGTTATGAGTTTGATCTCCAGTGAGGTTGTGAATACCCACCATTGAACGGTCTCATACTAGCTAGAAATTAGTTGTGCAATGCTTTATGTGTTTCATCGGTTATTTAACCAAGATCAGCTCATAATGTAAACTTCAAAATTCAACAATCTACACAAACTTCCTTTTATTCTTTAACCAAACAGATTTTTCAGTTGATTCTTTCCTATTGTTTTATACAAAGAAAAATACTATTTTCGTTCTTTTGTTACATTCATATTTCAGTGTTTTTTGTTGTTCTATAATCAGGCGACACCATAGTTTAAATTTACTTCCTAGTTTAGTATACTTGATCAAAGCGAAATTCCTCAGGTCAATGAAGATATTGTTTTCCGTATACTTATTAAACTCCCACGTAATCTAACCATTTTCTTGTTAGTCAAACAAAAAACAAGCTTAGCACACATGATTGGAAATGGAAGACATTTCTACGTATAAAAAGAAAGTTTATCAGTCTATTTTCATTACAGATGAAGTTTTAAAACCAATTACTGAACAGAATATTGTCAATTATTCCTGATTATTTTAACAACAAATAGTTTATTGTTAATAATTAAACGCGTAGACTGTTAATGTTTACTTATATTTGGTACTTCAAAGTCATGCTTTGTTTAAGTTTCTCGTACCATTATGTGACAACCATTTAGCATAAAGATATGTAATGATACTAATTAGAAACAACCATATTATTAAATAAGAATTGTTTATATTTCTTTTTAGTTCTTAATGTAATTAATTATCTTTTATTCATGAACTATAAATAACCTTAGTCGTTAGTTTATTTCACATTGTTTTGTTGTACAAAATGTTTACTTTTTTGTTACTTTCATGATTACGTTTTCATAATTTAGAATGTGGTGATTTCATCATTGAGAAGTACTTTAGTTTTACTTATCTAAACATTAGTGTAAAGTTTTAAAGGTTAATGGCATGATGTGCATAGAACTAATATTTCTTTATGCTTACTAAATAATTTTTGTTTAGTCAATAGGTTCAGTTATACTCTTTGTATATATTTCAATCATCCCACTGGTTTAAAGTGGTGTTTTCCACTTCAAAATGAACATTTTAAACTAAATTGCCAATAATAGAAAGTGATGAAGTTTATGAAGGATGTATAAATCATAATATATCGATTTTACAGTACCACCATTAATGGTGATTGTATACACTCCATAATAAATATAGATTCAGCGAAAGTAATGCTGTCGTTAAAGTACAAACTGATAACACATAAAGAAATGTGATTTGGTTGCATGAGTTGATTAGTGAGTTAAAAGGAATTATGGTTTAATGAAGTTCCCAAAACATTTCAAGCCATAATCACGTAACCGTAACGTTGATGATCCAGCCCTATCAGAGTGCTGGTACATATTCAGATACCAATTAGACTTTGCGACTCAATCCAAGTTTTTGAATACCGTATTGTTCCACTGTGTTAGTCTAAAACAACACTTAGCGATAAGTAAAGCCAATAGTGTTGTCCTGTTTGATTCTTATCAAGTTACAACAATTATGTTTGCTTCTTCAACATCTTTGTTCAGGGTTATTCAGTTGAAACGGTTGCTTCAGAAAGAACACTACTTGTGTTTTTACTTCGGATTTTTCATACTTACCAAGTCTTTAATATATCTGTATGCGTTGAGAAACTCGTAGATTTTGTGCCTAATGCTTAAAATAACTTTTATAATTGATGTGAAAAAAGGTGGTTCAGGATTTATTCTAAGAAGACAATCTCTTTCGTTAGTGTATCTAAGTCATTCAGTTTTATAATGGAAGTGTTTTTGCCGTTCATAGTCTGTGGCTATTTTGAGTTGAAGTAATCTTTCTGGAAAAAAGCAAAGGCATCACCACGTAAAGCATCTACTGGGGCTACTAATGTGTTTTCTGTCATTTCAAATTGAGATCCAAATCATTTATCAGATAAAAAATACCTATTTCTATTGTATATTATGCAAACCAACTCCGCCTGGAGTCCCTCCGGTGGCTACTACCGGTCCCGAGCCTGGATAAAGGAGGAGGGTTGGGCATGGGATTGGCGTCCCCATCCCGTGGAAAACTAACTAGCTAAAAAAACGCTAACCAGAAAAAATTATTCAAACCTTTTAAACTCTGTCCTGGGAGTCAGAAGGTCTTCATTTAGAAGAATTATGACGCCTCATGATGAAAGCCGAATTCGTTCGGAAGTTACGAGGCCGATGCCCCTTCTGACAACCAGAGCAACCATTTATTTAGGTACATGGAATGTTCGTACAATGTGGGACACCGGGAGAGCCTTCCAAATTGCTGCAGAAATGAGAAGATACAACCTAGAGGTACTTGGGATCAGTGAAACACATTGGATGCAAGTTGGACAACAACGACTAACTTCAGAGAAGCTTCTGTTATACTCCGGCCATGAAGAAGAAAATGCACCACATACACAAGGAGTTGCATTAATGCTGTCCAAACGAGCACAAAACGCACTTATAGGATGGGAATCTCATGGACCAAGGATCATCAAAGCCTCGTTCAAAACAAAGAAAGAGGGCATTTCAATGAACATCATCCAATGCTATGCGCCTACCAACGACTACAATGAAGACGCCAAAGATCAATTCCACGATAGGCTGCAGGCAATCGTCGAGAAGTGCCCAACAAAGGACTTGACTATTCTGATGGAAGATTTCAATGACAAGGTTGGAACGGACAACACTGGATATGAAGAAATCATGGGACGACACGGACTGGGAGAAAGAAACGAAAACGGTGAGAGATTTGCAAATCTATGTGCCTTCAATAAGCTGGTCATAGGCGGCACCATATTCCCACATAAACGCATACACAAAACCAAATCGACCATATTTGCATCAACAAAACGTTCAGGAAGACTGTAGAGGACGTGAGAACCAAGAGAGGAGTTGGTATAGCATCAGATCGGCAATTGATGATCGCCAAGATGAAATTGAAACTCAAGAAGCACTGGACAACGGGGTGGACAACATCACAAGAGTTCAATACGGCCTTTCTTTGGGATACTGACAAACTCAACAAATTCAAGATAGTCCTCAGCAATAAGTTACAGGCCATTCATGATCTACTCAATGGAGAAGGAACTACTGTGGACAGCAAGTGGAAGGGGATCAAAGAAACAATCACTTCAACATGTCATGAGGTCCTGGGTCACAAGGACTGGATCACTGTTGATACACTGGATAAGACGGTGGAAAAGGCTGGAAGGGAAGGACACATGTGACAATTGTATGACACGACACAGAAACTCTCTGGAAATCGCCGCAAACCAGAACGACCAGTGAAAAGCAAGGAAGGTGAGGTAATCACCAACATTGAAGAGCAACAAAATAGGTGGGTAGAACACTTCAAAAAACTCTTGAATCGACCGGCCCCACTGAACCCACCCAACATCGAAGCAACACACACGGACCTCCCAATCAATGTTGGCCCACCAACAATTGAAGAAATCAGCATGGCCATCAGACAAATCAAGAGTGGCAAAGCAGAAGGACCGGACAACATTCCAGCAGAGGCACTGAAAGCAGACGTAGAGGCAACTGTAAGGATACTCCACATTCTCTTCATTAAGATTTGGGATGAGGAACAAGTACCAACAGATTGGAAAGAAGGACTTCTGATCAAAATACCGAAGAAAGGCGATCTCAGCAAGTGTGATAACTACAGGGGCATCACTCTTCTCTCAATACCGGGAAAAGTCTTCAACAAGGTATTGTTAAACAGGATGAAGGACTGCGTAGACGCCCAACTTCGTGACCAACAGGCAGGATTCCGTAAGGATAGATCGTGTACAGACCAAATCGCAACTCTACGGATCATTGTGGAAAAATCAATTGAATGGAATTCATCACTCTACATCAACTTCATTGACTACGAAAATGCATTTGATAGCGTGGACAGAACAACACTATGGAAACTTCTTCGACACTACGGCGTGCCTCAGAATATAGTCAATATCATACAGAGTTCATATGATGGATTACACTGCAAAATCGTGCATGGAGGACAATTGACAAAGTCGTTCGAAGTGAAGACCGGTGTTAGGCAATGTTGCTTACTCTCACCCTTTCTCTTTCTCCTGGTGATCGACTGGATCATGAAGACATCAACGTCTGAAGGGAAGCGCGGGATACAATGGACATCTAAGATGCAGTTGGACGATCTAGACTTCGCAGATGATCTGGCCCTTCTATCCCAAACGCAACAACAGATGCAGGAGAAGACGAACAGTGTGACAGCAGCAGTAGGTCTCAATATACACAAAGTGAAAAGCAGGATTCTCCGATACAACAAAGAATGCACCAATCCAATCACAATTGACGAAGAAGATTTGGAAGATGTAAAAACCTTTACATATTTGGGCAGCATCATTGATGAACAGGGTGGATCTGATGCAGTTGTGAAGGCGCGGATCGGTAAAGCAAGAGCAGCATATTTACAACTGAGGAACTTCTGGAGCTCAAAGCAACTGTCAACCAACACCAAGGTCACAATTTTCAATACAAATGTCAAGACAGTTCTACTGTATGGAGCAGAAACCTGGAGAACTACGAAAACCATCATGCAGAAAATACAGGTTTTTATTAACAATTGTCTACGAAAAATACTTCGGATCCACTGGCCGGACACTATTAGCAACAACGTACTGTGGGAGAGAACAAACCAGATCCCAGCGGAGGAAGAAATCAAGAAGAAGCGCTAGAAGTGGATAGGACACACATTGAGTAAAGCACCCAACTGCGTCACAAGACAAGCCCTCACATGGAATCCTCAAGGCGAAAGGAAAAGAGGAAGACCAAATAACACATTACGCCGAGAAATGGAAATAGACATGAGAAAAATGAACAAGAATTGGATGGAACTAGAAAAGAAAGCCCAGGATAGAGTGGGTTGGAGAATGCTGGTCAGCGGCCTATGCTCCATTGGGAGTAACAGGCGCTACTGACTGACTATTATGCAAACCATGTATTGAAATCTCTTTTCGTATTGTCTGAAGTAATTATGTGTCTGATTTATATTTTCTGAATTTTTGTACTGACAGGTCCAGGCAATTTACTTGACAGACGAGGCGTTTACGATAGACAATGGCTTATTGACTCCAACAATGAAACTATCACGTAATAAAGCTCGAAATCATTTTTCAAAAACAATAGTTAGTTTATACACACAGCATGAGCTTAATTCTTCTTCAACTTAACATTTGTGATCATTTTCAACTTACAATGTGTACGTGTGAAATGGGTTCGTTTGGAGATAATATTCTCCATAAGTTGCATTCTATGGACTATTCTGATTCCTCCATCTATTCCACAAGAATTTCTTGCCTTATTTAATAAAAAACATTATGTATTTGTTTAAATAATATTGGAAACGTATTTTACAGTGTATCATTTGTGATGTCTACTCATCTTGGCAACGCGCATGAATAAATAAATAATTTCGTATTTATGACTATTGTTTTCGACTTATCTTTATTTTTATACATTAGGTTTTATGAGGGATTAGTAAATACACGTCGAACTGAAGCGATTACTAAAATCATTGTTAAAATTAGTATCATCTGTCTTAATTAGATAAGACTTTCATTGACTGATCACCCAATTCTAATAGGAATTAATTTATTGAATTTGCGACAAATCATACTTGTAACCAAACCCTATTTTGTATCCAAGTTATGTGACTGAACTTAGGCAAGTGTAAGGATAACTAACATGGAACTACCAAAAACATTCCATGAACTAATCCAAGCGGTTGTTTCATTACTCTGTACTGTGTTGGATTTATGGTCAACTATGATATTAGTACTGCTCTAATAGTAGACCTAATTACAAAATTGTAGATTTCTCATGATATAACTGCTTAATCTATAAAATCTTACGTGGAAGTTACATCATCGTCTACACCAACTCATTTCATCTTAACAATCATCAATACATGATGAAGAACACACTTAAGCTAGAGATAGGTCAATGTATTTAATATGGGTAAAAGGTATATAACAACATCCAAGGATAGCCACGCCTACAAGGCCGAGCCATGCCATCCGGTCGATTCGAATCCGTTCCATTCATTCCTCCCGCCTTCCCCATCGTTGGGTTTTTATCCGCAGTGGGATAATGAATGTCTAGTTTCCAGCTGTCTAATTTTCAGCTTTAAGGATTGTGTGGTTTGGGCTCAATGCCTCTACAATTTGTTGATATTGTACATGGTATTGTTTTTGTAAGATTCTATCTCTTCTATGCTGTCACCAAAGAGGCCACAATACCTGAGTGTCATGATAGGGTAATTCGGGCAAGGTATCAACCAATACGCGTGAGTTGAACATAGGCTAGGAGGTTAGGTCGTTCTCACTCAACTATATGAGACCGACCACCAACACATTTGATCTACAAGTCTTCATGGAGAGTCAGGACGCGATCAAGGCCGAGGGTTAACTTCAAGATCATCAGCACACAACATGGAGTACCAATCAAAGAAAGTAAATGGGATGTTGAAGGCTTGTGGTCTCTATAATCAGTGAATTAGATGATCAACACTTTCGAATACCCTAAGGCATATGTACGTATAATTGGTGTTCATTTACTAGAGTTCAGTTACTCTTTGTCGTCAATGGGCTTGTGTCACATAAAATAACCGAAAGCGAACAGTGTTACAAGTCAGAAACTAACGATTTGCTGATTAGATGTTTATATAGGGATTCGCTTGAGACTCGCCTCATGATCTACATAACTACATGGAGCAGGGGAATCGGTCTCCAATTGCAAAATTTTGTCTTATTATCCGTTCATACATTGCCGTGATCACTCTGTACTTCCTGACAGAAGTCAGTTTAACCCTGAATACAGACCACTTGTAGAGATTTGTGAGATGAAGATAAAGTAGATCCGCACATTCCTTCGTTATTCTGAGTTGGCTTCCCCCGATACAGCAGACGTATGTGGTTTGATGTGTAAGGCTCAAACCTCACGATAATTAAATAAAAAAGGAGAAGATTGGACGGGACTCATTGAACAGAGATATTGTAGTGGCGTCGGCTCCTAATCGCACGATCTTTAAAGCCAAGCATATAAATACTGGGAATGCTTGCATTCAACATGCAACGACGAGGAACGTGGGAACGATTGATCGGTAGGGAACGGATCAGGCTTGCAGGCGTGGTTATCCTTGTGACAGATCCCTATTCACATTAGAATATATTCTATCCCCAGCTCAAATGTGTTCGTCAGAGGTGCTAGACACTGTGTTGCTGATTGCCACGACACAATGATGTGACTTCCAGTTACGATCTTGTAGATTAGGTAGTCACGTAATGACAAATCTACAATTTTAGGATCAGTTCTATCATAATGATAACAAAGATAAATGTATTTATACCGAACTAGACCATAATTCTACAATATAACAGACTAGGAGTAGTCGGGTCAGAAGTTCCTATTTGGCAGCCTAGTGGGCGCGTTGCTGGAGCTGCGTAATTTTGAAGAGATTCTATATATGATACTCGGCGTTTTGTGCAGTCTCCTGACACAGTTGCATGAAAACCTATGACCACTATCAATTGACTCCTCAGTCAAAGAGGTCTGAAAAAATTCATTTTAGAGCTTCACTGTTACCTTGAAGAATTAGTGAGGCTGGCACTTATAATGGTTTATGGAATACGCCAGTCAGATCAGAGCCACGAGCACCTCTAACATTGCATTTTGAGTCACCTGGATGATGAGTTTCCTTACACTCTGAGGGAGTTTGATGATTAAAGTTTGACTCCAACATCCACAACATCCTATTTGTCACTAGAACCCGTTAGGAGAAACTTTACTGATGATATTTTTCATGGTAACACTGTTAAAATACTTCATAAAAAGTAAGTAGGGGAGGTTTAGTTTTTGAGCGAAAAAGATATAGACTGTATAATATTGAGAGAGGTATTAAAATGTACGTAAGATACTTAATGTCCGTTGGCCGGATACCATCAGCAACAGCTTACTGAAGAAGAGGACAAATCAGCTTCTAGCTGAATAGAAAAGTCAGTCAGTCAGTAACAACGTAGAGCTTCGTAAATACGTACGTCAGTTCGAGCTGCCATACCACATTAGCACAGAGATGCAGTGGTCGATTCAAATCGCGTAGTGGTAGAGGTAATAAGAGTATAAGCAGTAATCGGAAAGATTAGGGTTTGGAGATGTTACTTAAAGGGTATAATCCAGTGAAATAAATTTGGGAAGAGAAAAAAAAGAAGAGGAGGAATAAGGAGATCGAAATTTGGGAGAAGACGAAGAGTGTATGCACCTGCGCCATTGCGTACGATTTTGAGCCATGTCATTCAGGATCTCTAACCATCGGTCGCTATCGCCTCACGGTCCCCAACCAGGTAGTCTACACCTACCAACATGACTCACACCACTTGTCAGTGACTTCATGGACTTGTGCCACGTTTCGGTCTGGCCGCCCCTAGCTTTCTTCCAACTTACTCCTACCCCCACAGAACATCGCACATCGAGACAGTCGGTGATTGGTCATACGTAACACGTGTCCCAGCCATCTCAACTGATGAAGTTTCACTACTTCATCAATTGATTTGCCATCCTTACCTAGTACCTGTTTCCTAACAACTACATTACTTACTCGATGGTCCCATGATATATGAGCAATGTTTCGAAGACACCTATGATCAAATACTAGTAACCTACGAATATCCTTTACTCTTACCGGCCATGTTTCACTGCCATAAAGTAGGACGGAACGAACTGCTGCGCAGTAAACACGTCCTTTGGTTGATAGACGAATATCTCGCCTACGCCATAAATGACGCAAGTTGGCAAAAGCTAGTCCAGCCTTCTGTATCCGTGCTGAGATTTCGTCACACACCAGACCACAAGGGCTGATGAGACTTCCAAGATAAGTGAAGCGGTCGACACGCTCAATTACTTCACTCCCTATCATTAGTTCGGATGTCAATGCGACTCAATCCTGAAGCAACATTTTGCATTTCGAGGGAGAGAATCGCATCCCGAACATGCTTGCATTGTTGCTTAGAGTGGTCAGAAGACTCTGCATTTTGTCAGCGTCTTCACCAAATAAAACTATGTCATCAGCATATTCTAAGTCAACAAGTGAAACTCCCTGTAGAAGTTCAACCCCTGGAAATTCAGATGAGGAGAGTGTTATCTCTAAAAGTACGTCGACCACAAAGTTGAACAAGAATGGAGAGAGTGGACAGCCCTGATGAACACCACTTGAGGTAATCAATTCTGATGACAGTTCGCCATAAGCTCTCACTAGACCAGTTGTGTTCGAGTAGAGAGGCTGTGTAAGGTTAATGTACTTCTTTGGTACTCCTTTCAGTGACAAACACTGCCATAGAACCTCACGATCAACAGAGTCGAATGCCCCCTTAAGGTCGAGAAATACTACCATTGTGGGGCGTCTGAATGTGTGTCTGTGTTGTAGAACCTGACGTAGTGTGAATATCTGATCTATACAACCACGTCCAGATCGAAAACCAGCCTGGTTTTCTCTAGTCTGCTCTTCACGAGCTTTAGTTGGGAGTCGAAGTATTATTGAAGCTAATATTTTAGACACTATATTAGTCAAACTGATTCCTCTGTGATTGTCACAAGAGGGCTTTTGTCCTTTCTTATAGACTGGCACAATCAGTGATTGAGACCAGTCAGATGGGATTTCGTCCAGTTCCCAAATTCTACCTAAGACCTCAGTCAATCTTGCTGCTAATACTGAACCACCATCCTTAAAAATCTCAGGAGTAAACCTGTCAGAGCCTGCTGCTCTCCCTCGTTTCAGATTTCCTATTGCTTTTTCAACTTCGTAAAGAGACGGAGGATCTACATTAACTTGCCATTCAGGTTGACTAGAGATAGTGGGAAACCGAAGTGTGGCTGAAGGCCAGTTAAACTGATCCCTAAAGTGTTCTGCCTATCGATCGATCCAATCTCCTGGATTGAGAATGTATAATATGTACATCTTTCTCTGAGGTTGTTTCGCTAACAGTCGGGTTCCTAATACCGGTTTCCCTAAAGAGTCTGAACAATTGTCTTCTGTTACCTATTGCCACTGCCTTTTCCATCTCTCTTGCTTTCGCTACCCACCACTGTTCACGATCATTGCTTGAGCTTCTTGTCAGCTTGTGCTTAAGCTGACTCTGCTCTTCGTCGTGTTCAGAGTCAGGTGAAATGAGTTTCCGAG